ATTCAGGTTAAGTTTGTTCGCTTTCCAAGTGCGTATAGGTGGGCAAAAGTGTTCTGAGTAAAATGGACTTAGTGAAAGCTTATACTAAAGCGTGGGCTTATGACCGTATCTTTTACACTTAAACGCGTACTGACAAAATTAAGTAGACATTAACATCATTAACAAAAAGTTTCAGATCAGGTTGGCAGTTAACATGAAAGGGTCATAATTTTACTACATTTAGGAGGGGTTTTTACAGCTATAGCTCAGCAGTAGGGCAGGTATATGGCATATTGCAAATATATAGGGCCTATCCACGAAATGGCCTGTGATGGGTTTCTGGCACTTCGTACAGGCCAAAACTTTTGCCAATTAGCCATCTTCCCCAAAGTGTCATAGTGATAGTGGTGGCTGGCATATAAAAGGCCTAAATGACCTTGAAAGGAGAATTTTTTATTTCAGAGGAAAATTAACAGTAAAGGCAAAAAGTTTAGCTCATTGCGTTCATGGGTTTCTACATAATCTAAGCTCGAAGGACGGCGGAATCCCCAGTAATAGGTTTACAAACCAGACTGACTGATGTTCATTTTAAAAGAATACCTTGACTACCACAGTTGAACTAATGTTCTGTGTCCCTAACAGCATACGACCGTTAAGAATACCTTTTAATCTATTCGCAAAGTCCTCTCTATAATTCAGTTGGAAGTGGAAAGTGCCTGAGTTATTGGCCAATCTTATATTTCATCATACATAATGATTTAAAACTCTCCGGGGCTTTGAATGGTAATTTTTAAGATGCATTATATTTACTACTAGATATACGACAATTGGTGAATGTTTTTGGAACGAAAACGACTATTATCGGAAAATTATGCAGATATTTACTGCATTTAAGTTAATTAAACCTGTTTGAATATCGAAGATAAATTTTGCATGCTTGAGAAGCAATAAATTGCACCAACGCTTTTATCAGCATTTTTATCTGTCCATTTGAAAGTTTGTTTCCGCTAAATGGTAACCATTTGCTATAGTGTAATCAATTCATGTTGTAACTTACCATGCTAATAGTCTAGGC